CGCCTTCGGACCCAGACCTCCAAAGTCAGCTGCAGCGGCAAACCCAGCCAAAACACCACCTAAAGGGAACAACAGCCTGCTTCTGGCCACAGGCTTGGAGAACGGCGTGATCAAAATCTGGAACGTGTTAACAGGTGAGGTTTCTGCTGGTGAGGACGTCATGAGCGCTGTTCTCGGGGTATTACGAGTCGGTTGTTGCTGATTTTTGAAATGCATTTTTAGGGAATGCTGTATTTGATCTCCATGGCCACGAAGGGGTTGTGAGGCACCTGGTCTTCCCCCAGAATGGGACGCTCACACTCATCTCATCTTCTCGGGACAAGACTTTGAGGATTTGGGACCTGGCTCAGAAAGGTACGTACAGTTTTGTGCTTTAATTTTAAAAACTCACTAAAGTCCAGACTCACCGCTTCTTCAACAACTAAATACCTGAGACAATCTGTCAAAAATTTTCAAGAGTTTGTTTTCACCTCCTCTTGTGATAACAGTTTGAGTGGTGTTCCTTACTGATATGAAGTGTTTACTTAAATGCAACGCACACACTGTTTCATAGGTAAATAGTTTAAGGAGCAGTTGTTGACATTCAGGGCGGATATTAGTAAAGAGCAGTTACATTTAGGAGCGTGTTTTGTATAAATTCATTTTGTTTGTTAAACTTATCTGGTAAATGTTAGTTAAGAGTGTTTTTTTGTTTTTTTTAATATCGATTTCCAACCTTTCCCAGTTTCATTTAATGCCAGTAAGATACGAGACTCTGCTCACAGGTGGGAAAACTCTGAAGCTGCTAAGCTACTAATAATACATTATTGGTGAACATGTTTCCGTTTTACTGACATTGCTCATAAATGCTGCGCTTTTCTGCAGCTGACTTGTCAAATGTCAGGGTATCCTTGAACACACCCACATCAAAACGTCCCTGCTCAAACATTAAAGCCATTAAAGGCTCTCTGTGAGCTATTACCAAACTGAATTTCACACTGAATTGATATTGACTGAAACCAGTGGCTGCCTGGTTTGTTGTAAATCAGTCTGAAGACTCACAGTATGCATTGTTAAAAAGTGGGCAATAAGCATCTGATGTGTGCAACTTCAGTTTTTAAATCGTCGGTTAAAATATTTTTCTGCTTCGTTCCGTGTATTTGCCACCTCGCCTCTGTGTTTTGTCACAGCCCACTCTGACTACTAAACCTTCTGTTTGAATGGAAGAGGTTAAAGCAAACAAATGTTCATGTACACACACAGGAGTTTTTTGGTATCCAGTGATGTCTGATGTAGCGTGTCTCATTCCTAGTAAAACTTTTAATCTGCCTATTGTAGGTAAAAAGGTGCAGGTGCTTTCTGGCCATAAAGACTGGATCAGCTGCTGCAGCGTCTCGTCAGACTGCAGCATGATTGCGTCTGTCGGCAGGTTTGACAGAGTGAGTTATGTTACTGTGGATAATGTTGATTTATTTTCATGGCAAAGCCAGATATTGCAACACAGAAACACAAACATTTGCATTTACTGTTGATCCTGAAGGACACTATTTTCCACCTAATCGTTTTGTGTATTTTTGTGTAATTAGACTCTTTACCTCTGTGTGTTTAAAACTACAATACTTCTGAATGCCCAAAGTCTCCAAGCTGTCCGGAACAAAGCTCCCTTTTATGCTCCTACTTGATGCTTTTTAATCTAGATTCACTCCATCAGCTTAGGAAGTAATAAGTTTTGTGTCAAATCAGTGACCATAACATTTTCCAACTGTAACCAGAGTTGTGCAAAAGGGAAATGGGGCGCTCTTTCTTTTGCACGGCTTTGTGGTTTTTAGGCCGAAAAGATGGGGCTTTTTTAATTTCACACTGCTTCAAGTTTATTTTTCAAGGACCCTGGAATGAAAGCGAAAGTGTGTTTTTCTTTTTAAGCTTCTGGTCACAGGCCTGTTTTTCTGATCATTAAAGCAGGTTTAACAGATGTGGAAGATTGTATTTGCATTAACGTTTATTTATTGGTGTCTGACAGGCAAGAATGAAACTGAAGGTCCAGATACGTTTAACCAAGTTACTCATAGCTTTTAATGTGTTTGTTTTCAGTGCAGTGTTTGCTTGTTAATGTGTTTGGCCAGGTCTGTTGCTCACGAGCATGCGGCAATAAGGTTATCTTCCAAGTTGCTGTAAAACTGAGAAAGTTTAGCAGTTTGATTCTTTGTTGGTTGTTTTATACCTTTTTACAGCAAGGTATTAAGACCCGTTAACCCTTCGTGATTTTACCTTCATCAGATGGTGTGTCTGTGGAGTCTGCGGTCATATACATTCATGAGGAACCTGACAGGAGGGACCCATAAGACCTTGTACCTCTTATCTTCCTGTGACTTCTCTCCTGACGGGGCGCTGCTCGCCACCGCAGCCTTCAGTGGCTCCAGCTGGTGGATCGACCTCTGGGACCCCTACACTACAGAGAAACTGGCCACACTGGTGTAAGTTTACACACAAAATGTACTGAATGTTTTGTACTGGAAATAAAAAGGCATGTTTCTGAAACTGAGTGACACATCACACTGGTGGCAAATGCGTCTTAGAATGCACTTTTTATTTCTTTACAGGAAGACAAATAGCATCTCTAGTACTGTAGAGTTAGTAAGTAAAAAATCTTAACTTTGCTCCTAGAAATTTGGAGTTTTATTTTTAATGCCATTTTTTACGAGGAGGGTGAGTCCTAAACATCCTTCACTGCCACAATCACTGTTTACATCTGACACATTGCCTGAAAGTGTCCTTGTGTCCTACATCTGGTGCAAACTGTTTTGGATCTTATTAAATTTCACATTATATACAGTACATTCAAGCCAAAATTTAATTTTAATATGTACAGTGGACCTTCTAAGTATAACTCACATGTGCAGTATGTTCTAAACCACTTAAATATACCACAACAGAATCCTCGGGTAAATAAACTTACTTTTGTGGCATATTGAGAAGAGAAAAAAATTATACTCTGCATGTTAGTGAAACATAGTGCACAGTAAAATTGCACAATAAAGTCCCCAGAAAGTACGCCATGTTTAATTTAACATTCATGTCTTAAAAAACTCTTCTGTTTTTTCTTCCCGCAGTGACTACTTCGAGGATTACGGGCAAAGCCAAATCTCAGCAATACAGTTCTCCCCCAATGGTTTGCACTTGGCTATCGTGACTGATGACAGGTGAGTAGTTTATTTTTATTTTTTTTACCTTTTATTAGATAGGATATGGAAAGCTGAAAAGAGACGGGAGCAGAGGGGATGACATGTAGCAAAGGACTATTTTATAAATAGTTTATTTTATGTTATCATGTAAGTGTTTCTGGATAAAATGATTTCAGCAGACGTCTTGTGTTTGCAGAGCACTTCGGATCTGGGAGCCGGGAAATAAAGGGATGGTGATGCAGACGAAACCAGACCGAGACTCTAATGGACTCTGCTGTGACTACCATCCACGAGGGGGGGTGGTCGCCACAGGGTAAAAATCCTCAAGAATTTATATAGAGAATATAAAATTTGTACCACTTGTACACTTCAGAAATGTTGAAAAAGAAGCATGAAAACATCCATAGAACTTCTTCTTAACCCACTGCTACAACTTAACCCATTTTCTTGCCGCCCATTCGTATGTGGAAAAATGCAACAATATCACTCTCTAGCTCTATAATTATGTTTTAGCTTAAAAAAACCGAATTGCTCAACAGGAAAATGGCAATTTTGATAATCTGGAGAGAGAGAGTTTTTTTTTTTTTTAATTGTTCAGCCCAATTTGAACCTGTTTAACAGTGTTTGCACCTGCAATTTTTTGTGTAGGTGAGATGTATCCTTTACTAGTTTGCATGTGTAAGTTGCAGTGCATTAAGCCGTCTTGGCCACCTTAAACTGCAACACTAACTGTACCCTGATACCCTTCTGCAACAGAACCAGAGACGGCCACGTGAGGTTCTGGAGAGCGCCCAGGACGGTGCCCAGCCTGTGCCACCTGTGCCGATCCAGCCTGCGCCACTCTGTCTCCACACACCAGATGGAGCCACTGCCCCTCCCCAAGAGGATCCTCCAGTACCTCACCTACAGAAACATCCCTGACCACCTCAACACCTGCTGCTCCTCAGATGAAGAATGGGAAGGTTAACTATGAACATTAACACAATGCAACTCTTGACATTCGCAGCGGGTGACTAAGCACTGTCATGCGTTTTTCTGTTTGATTAGTTTGATGAAGCTTGATTTGGCAACAGATCTTATTGTAACTGACTTTAGATGCAACATTCCTACAGTAAGGAGTTCATTTATTGCACTACTCTTGTAAGACGATGCATAAACTCACTGTTCACATGCTTGACTCGAATCACAATTTTATATTCTTAATTTATTGTGTAAATATCAATGTATATGCATTTCTAATTCCTGTGTTTACCCTCATAAACTGCACATACACTACTGCTGAACAGCACATGGTAATTGTTAAACAAAAACTGGAGTTGTAGGAAATAGTTTTATTAAACAGATTCAAAGACATGTACGTGTCAGATGCATTCTTACTCAGTTGTATGTATTTGTTTACCTCATATTTTCAATGGATGAATTGGTGACAGTAAGTCCTTCAAAGGGTTAACTAAATTTATAGTTTTCCAAGTCCATATTTTAAGTGCCCACAGGATAGATCTTTTTTGGTGCTTGAGTTAGAAAGGATTGCCTTCTATGTTGCTTAGTTTGTATGCAGATGTGAGTGACTCAGATAGCTGCTACCATTTGTGTCAGTGCACCAACTCTCGTGCAGTCGTGGGCACTCTTAATGGCATCTGCTTACTCATTAAACAAATTTAGAATCTGAGAAAATCTACCTACGGCATTCTCAGCTCTTCAGGGTATCATTGTTCACCACAGCCATAGGGAGGAAATAAACAGGTGAACCCTATACACACACTTCCAGAAAGGACCTAGTGTACAACATTTTGGACAAACTGGCAGAGCAGGAAATGAAAGACAAAGTGTCGCCTGAAATCTGGATGTAGCTGTGTTTTAATTGTGGTACAAACAGAAGTGATGGTAGTCAGCAGGGAATTGGTGAAAAAGTTTTGCCTCCACAAGCGGTTTGCATTCTGGAGACTGTATTTCGTTGTGGTGGTGTAAAGCGGTCACTGTATTTAGGAGGCCTCGCTGACCACGAGGTCCCTCACTGCCTGGAAAGCTGCAACCATGGAGCTCAGCTGGATTTTCTCATCAGTTCCTGAGGCGACCCTGTGTCTGAGGAGATGACGTATGATAAGTCCAGAAACAACATTTCCCCAACATCTGGATGCTTTCATGATGTTAATGTGTGACTGTTTACAATTACTTAATGTAATGTTACTTTGTAATGTGAGCTTTTCCATATTCGGACACATGAGTGATCTCACTTACTCGACGTCAGCCAGCTTGATGAGCAGAACAATCCGAATAGCTGGAGGGAAGTCAACTTGAAGGAGGGAAAAGAAAAGAAATATTCATCAAACTACTGAAAGACTTTGAAGTCGCAAAAGATCACCAACACATATCGGCTAATGCCAGAGCAGTGAGAGTTAACCTACAAGTGTATACCAACCACAGGTCAAGTAATTGTTGGGAATTGGAAAACATAATACCTGGTTTGCCATCTGCAGTGGCCTTACCTCTGTGTATGAGCAAATGAACCTCAGTGAGGATATCATGCAGGGCCAAACCCTTCAAAGTCTTCAGCTGAAGGATTTCTGTGAAGATGGCATTAAGGGGTTGCAAGAACACAAACTGAACTGGTGTTACTGGGCGTCTTGTTATACATTTTGAAAAGTTTATATTTATTTTTATTATTATTAAATCATGCAAAACATGAAGCACGGGTTATATTTGCAAATGTTTTTTTAAACATGGCAGATTTACTGATCATTTAGCTACAGCTAGCTTCTGTTATCAGTTGCAAGAAAGAAATGCACTGAATATACAGCAACATCAGGATGTTTAGCTTTAGGTAATACAGAACATAAATATAGAGAGATTAATCTACAGTAAAGCTTCCTCAGTGAAATATCCTGAAGGACAAGGCAAGGTGAAGGATACGGTTGTACGCTGTGGTGAAGTCTTTGTTGAGCGACCAGTCGAGGATGTTGGCTATGTCTGAGCGGAGGGGGTGACCTGTGCAGGTGTACACTGTGTCCTCTGTGACCTTCTCATAGGCCATACTGGTGCTCTGAAATCACAGAGGTGGAATGCAATTAATACAGTTCATTCTTCTATGATATAAAAACGAGGATAATGTATTTTAACACCGTATGAATTGAAAACACTGAAACTTCAAGGACAGGATGAGCTTCTGGCCGTACCTGCAGTATGTTGAGTGATCTTCTCATATCACCTGATGATAAGGTCACAATGGCCTTCATTCCATCTGGAGTTATGTCAATACTGCCACAAAAAGATTCACTCAATCAACAGGCAGATTAATGTTAAACTAAACTGTGTATTACTACATGTGTATAAACATGCATCATATTTAAACATAAAGGTATTGTCAAACTGTCATCCCATAAATTAAAAACCTTCACAACAGTCCCCTTCATACACACAAACACACACTTACCCCTCCTGCTGGACTACATGCTCCAGCCGAGGGATCATCTGGTCTGGGGACAGCGGGCCGAAGCGAAACCTGGTGCAGCGAGACTGCAGGGCCGGGATGATCTTGGACAGGTAATTGCAGATCAGACAGAATCGAGTGTTTTCTGTAAACTTCTCAATCACTGAGACAGAGTGGTGGTGGGGGGGGATGGACGCAAGTTAGAATCAATGTAACTAAGAACTGTGAAAGGTACGTTGCATATAAGAACCCAGAAGTGAAATACGATCAGCTCTGACATGCCACAGTTCTCTCATACAACTCACTTAACCTCTTTTTCCAGCTGCTGTAAGAAACACATTCATCATGTGACATTCTTTCTGTCAATATCCACACATTACTTCACAAACAAACCACATACTGTATGTTTGTAAATGTTTATGTGCGGCATTTGTCTGATACAAACTGAGCTGACGGTAATGAAAGCAAATTCATCAAGTGAGACATTGTGGTCATTAAAAAATATTAACTTAAGCTTTCAGTTCAAGTTTACTAGCAATCTATCACAAACGCAGCCACAATAAAAAAACAAACACATATATATATATATATATATATATATATATATATATATATATATATATATATATATATATATATATATATATATATATATATATATATAATATATATATATAATAATATATATATATAAAATAGTGTATGTGTGGCCTGCTCTGAACAAAACAACATTGTTCATCATCACGCTCTATGATCACACAAGTTTATGTTAGATGATTTTCCCAAAGACACAACATTCCTGTTTAACTCGATCAATAGTTAAAACCAAATCTTTAGATGGTTTTTAAGATGAATATCAGGGTGTACAAGTAGATACGATGTAATTCACCAGCAGCCAAATTGCCTGGCTGCTCAGTGAGCCGTGTGGCTCACAGTGGGCTACGCCCGGCCGAACAGATGGCTTACCTCGCCGCAGTGCATTCTGGGCATCCTGGGTCATGGCATCGGCCTCGTCCAGTATCACCAACTTGAAGCCTTTCCTGGGGGACGGACAGAAAGGCAGCAGTTTAAATAAAACCCCTTGAATTTATGGGTTGCAGATAAAAGAGATTTAAGAACATTTCTGAAAGTGTGATGGAAATTCTTGTGAGCTCGTCAACTCATGAGACAAGGTTTCGGGAAACTCGGGATGTCCTGATATTGAAGCTCGGCTGAGGAGAAAGGCAACAGCAGCAGAAAGTGAGGACACAGAGTGGAGCCGAACCCAAATCTCAAGGTGTCTTCCTGATGGGGAGTATTTATCCTTACAAGAGCTACTGACATTCACTAAGAGTCCAAATAAGGTTCTTCTACACCCCCCTATATATGTGTGAAGGTTCTACTGGATATTAGTTCAAAATGATGAGACAGTGAGTATCTAAGTTAGCCTAAGTCACGCTGTGTGTCAGTCAAGTCACATGCTAAGGAAGAAAGGTCATAATCTAATTTTGACCTTGGATTGCAGAGGAAATGGACCAGAGTTTAGCCATATCAAGGCAACTGCGTCAGAGTTAACTTAGTGAGTCAAAGGCTGGGACCCTAGGCTTTCTTACCCTTACATGAACTGGGGAACACCCTGTGTCATATTATCCTTAAAGAAGGTATGTGATGTGATGTAGAGTTTTAGTCTTACTTGAAGATGGTCCTGGTGCTGGCAAAACTCAGAACGGGGCCGCGTACAACATCAATTCCTCTGTCATCTGATGCATTTAGCTGCAAAAAAAAATCAATATCAAAAGACCCACAAGGTGTCGTGTCTCTTTTCTAAACCACTGATTATGTCAGGCGCAAAGAGAAACAGAAGCCCTCACATCCCAATAAATCAAAAGCTTGGCATGGGGAGGGGTAGTGTACCTCCAACACCATGGAGTTGAACTCTTTGTCCTTGTACAGCTGCCTGGCACAAGCAAGGATGGTGGAGGTTTTGCCCGTTCCAGGGGGGCCATAGAACAAGAGATGGGGAAGCCTGTCCTCACTGATAAACTTCTGGACTGAAGAGATGGAAAACAGTAGTAAAAACAAGGACGTTATATTTACATTCTGAATATGATGTGTTCCTTTTGAATGTACAATTAATTTAAAACATGAGGGAAACTTTGAAACCTGTTGCTTGCATACGGTTAATAATTAATGGCACTTACAGTACAACTATAGTAAAAACAAAAGAAAACAAAGACAAGAGTCAGCTACACTGACAGACAGCAGGGAAAGTTATTCCTACACGGACATCTTATACAATTGTAATTCATATGTATTAACTATTTGGTGGCTTCGTGCTATAAATGTGATAAAAAATGAAGCAGTAGATTTATTATCCATACATGTAAGTTAACGTGTAATTGATGAACCCAGTTGTGCTGAGGCTTTAGGGATGATGATTCTGGCAGTCCACATACTTACTGGTGCTTAGAATATCTTTGTGTGAGATCAGATCATCAAGTTTCTGCGGTCTGTATTTTTCAACCCTGGAAGATGGAGAAAGAAGAAACACATCGTACATTGTAATCAGTAATAAATACTTCCTGTTGCTGAATGTCTAAAGTTTGCGAGTTGTTACTGTACAAGCACATGTTGACGTTACAAGGATCTCAAACCAGCATCACAGATTAGCAGCATGTTAGAGACTAAAAGTATAATTCTCTGCATATGCAATGCACACTTGTCAACGTTAAGAGACTTCAAATTGTTGGCTGACACTGTTCAACTCGGCAAGTATATGTGTCAAAGAATATGTCAACTTTACGATAGCTTCACAGTTGAGGCTGCAGCATTTCCGACGAGCCATTTGTTTCAACTGACAACACAGCGATTCTTGAAGCATTTAACGTTATATATGCCGAATTAAAGAGAAACTCATATGGCTGCTTGTAAAATATTCGTTTTACAAGTACGACGACTACCAGAGCTATTTGTAAATACTAGATAACTTAGTCGACAGAAATCTTCATAATGTGTCGAGCTGCTAGCTTGAATCCCTAGTAGGCAGGTTAACAATTAGCTAGCTAGCACGAACTACTCTTAGGTATCTGTGTTAAAGAACATATTTCAACTCACCATGGCAAGTTTCTAGTCTGTAACGGTGCTTTACTTGTGGAAGCCATGTGTTCATAAACTGTGAATTTAGCTCCAACCGGGGTTAAATACTTTATTTTCACAGTTTGATGTTGGTGGCCGTGTTTGGCGCTCTCCACGACAAAACGTACGTAAACGTCACGACGTACAACCAATCGGATCACTTTGTGGGCTCCTATGGGCCGGGTATGGGTGACGTGACCGGCCGCTGTAAAAAGTGTGTGGAAGAACGTCAAGATGCTACTTTACAAAAAGCATAATGCATGCGCAACTATTGTGATCTATACATTTCTGGAATAAATGTATATTTGAAAATATTTGATACAATGCTGTTAAAATTAAAATGATTAAAACAAGAGTCAGCTCAATATGCCGTCCTGTCTCTCTCTATCTGTCTCTCTCTATCTGTCTCTCTCTATAGCAGCCTGTCATCTCAGCTGAAGCCTCTGCAGGTGACAGAGAAATTGTAGTATAAATTTCCCCCTGTGTCGTCCCTTGCCTCATTAGAGAAGATATTGCTGTGAACTCCTGTAGATCTCCCGGAGAGCAAATTTTTCTGGGATTCATAAAGTCCTTTTCATCACTGTTATGATCAGTTAGTTATGGTAGGCTACTGATCCAACAAAAAAAGTTAAAAGTCTATAGACTTGTCTTTACCTTAAAATTCTACACACACTCATCATGATTTTACTCAAATTTAAGAAAATAAAGCCCATTCACTCCACTATAAAATTAACTTAACTCTATTAACTCCATAAATAGTACCTTTTTTGTATTGCAATTCTTGATTTGGAATCATGTGAAAATGTCTGTTTAAGATACAAGGGACTCAAAAAAAACTTGATCTGAGGGCTTGAGTTAACTGTCCAGTGTCTAAGTGTCTATTTGACATACAGCGGGTCCTGCATGCAATTCTGTAATAATCTTCATATCATTTAAACCTTATTTTGCTTTGAGATGAGAGGAGAAAGGCAGAGTTGCACAAACATTTTCTCCACTGACTTATAAATGCATATTCAGTTATATAGAAAAACTTTTCTTCTAACAATACTGTGATGACATTCATAGATGCTTATTTTTATAAGTGATGTACATGCATATTTTTCGGAGAACATGTTAAGCTGGCATTTGCATTATTATTCCACCCAATACCTTAGTAGTTGCCAACCTTACAATAAAGCAGTGTCTTGATGCCTTATCACACATTAATTACATGATTTGCTAACCAAGGAGTGATTTTTCCTACTCAGATTGTTTAATTTGAAGCCTGAAGTTGTGAAAGTGGGTATTTCAAATGAAAAAAGCAACATTTAGATTAATGTCAAAACATAAAAAACATAATTTTGTGTAACAGAAATATATTTGTGATCTCTTAAACATCCTATTTAAACTTCATTCAGATATGATGAGATCTTTAAGGTTTAAATATTTTGTCAAAAAATTTGAAAAATGAAAAGTAGGCCTATAACAAAATTACTGTAAAGTCATAAGGCCTATTAAAAACCACATAGCTAGCTATAATGTGCAGGCTGTAGATGAGTGAAGACTATGTATGTGTAGGTGCCCTGTATGGGAGTGCACACATCTCCGTGTGTGGTAAAAACATGTGAAAAGTAAGTGTCAGTTTTGTTCCTCATCCAGGCCTGGAGACTGGTTGGATCTGCGAGCCCACTGTCTCTTAATCTCGCGAGAGCGGCCCCTCACAGCGGCGCCTGGGCGATGCGATGCTGTTGCTGTGAGTTTGATTGACGGGAAACATGTCGGTGTGGTGGGAGCGAACCGGGATGCAGCTGCTGCCAAGGGAGACAAGGAGTACCTGCATCCAATCCACACATCAGCACCTTTAAAACCACCAGGCTTTCTCCCGATACGTCTGCTTATGATGCACTGAACAGCTTCTCTCTCTTTAAAAAAACCCCATCCATTTGAAGCGAAGGGGCACTCAATGGATGCTGTGGCAAACCGTGTAGTCCCGCTCGGTATCTTCATATTGTGTTTGATTTAGCCTACAACCAGAGACACCTGGATGAAACAGCAGGAACTACGAGGACTGTTGTTGCAATGGAGTCGACTCTCTCACGGCTCAAACCCCGTCTGTAAACCTACAACATCTCGTTTCATGGCGTTTTGCAGGTTGCTCTGTTCCGTGGGCTCTTCCACGTTTATGTTCTAGGCTATTCTTATTTTGTTGTTGTTGTTGTTTTTATTTTTTTTTTGAAGTGCAAAGGGAAAATAAGACCACTGCTCGCAAAACTATGAACGAGGAGATGACAAAAAGCGAAGAGCAGCATCTTAGTTTGCAGAAAGCCTTGCAGCAGTGCGAGTTGGTGCAAAATATGATAGACATAAGCATTTCTAGTTTGGAGGGTTTACGGACCAAATGTGCCACATCCAACGACTTGACACAAAAAGAGATACGAACGCTGGAGGTAAGCACCCTTTGAGTGGAATGACTGAATTTGTGCCGTGCATCTTGATCTAAATCAATACGGAGGGCTGTCACCGTCTGTTATTTATTCTAGGCCACTATGCATATTCTGTGCCTTTTCAACGACAAACTGTTTTTCTGCTGTCGGTGTTGTCATTGCATATGCAAAGGTTTTCTGCTAAAGCCCACTGCTGTCTGTGTTGTGCAGTGCAATAAATCAAGAGGCTACGGGGCTGCAGTGGGCTGTTATAGACTTGCGCATTCTGCAGGTGGCGGGGAGAGAAGGTGGCTCTTCTCCATCAGAATAATATCTGAGGCAGCCGAGGCCTATAGGCAGCCTGTGTTTACAATCCATTACCAATATGCCAGCCTGCGCATCTGTCCTTGCAGCGCATCCAGGCCCTTCTGTTATGCAAGGCGAGCAGATTACTGAAATTGTTAGGCCTACAAAATATCGTTATCCGTTTAATTGGCCCGTGGGGTATTCCGTAAATTGCGTTACGTAATGGCCATAATATCCCGGTGCTGTGTTTGAGATATCTAGACTGTCAGTTTGGAGTCCACTTAAAACCAGTCGAACACCCCACCACCACCACCATCAGTGAGAGGCTGTTATGGGACATAAAAATGCCTTAAAGTGCGATAAGGTCACTGAAAACTCAATACTGAGTGAGGACCTATGAGAATGTTATGGTGATGCCTCATGAGATTAAAACAAATACCATTAAGTGCGATAAGGTCGCCATAAACTCACCACTGAGTAGGCCTATCTGTGTGTACCATCAACACACTTTAAGTCCCAGTGGGGATAGATATTACATAAAAATATCATAAAGGGCTAAAGTAAAGGCACACTTTGTGACTGCCACAAACTAATCCCAACTCCACAGGAAAATGAGGCTTCATATTTTAAAATATATAAACAACATATAAACATGTAAGTTAGTATATATTAATGCTATGACTGGGATATTATGTGAAGTGTATAAGTGCTGCACAGACAGGGGACGGTAATGTAGTCCAAGAGGAGAGAAAACTACCGTAATATTAAGTCCAAATGTGCTGCCAGCAATGAGCAGGCCACAGTGTGAAGATAAATGTTCACTATGTTCCCTGAGTGCGTTGCAAAGCATTGTGGGTACTGGATTATTTGTCATAAGCATTACAGAAGTATTCTTTTTATTTGCCAACATATTAATATAGTCTTGAAATATATGTCATATCTCAAATATGACTTGATTGTTTAAAACCTAGATTTGACTGATTGTTTATGACCATTTTGGATGAATCCCTAGCAAAAGTACATATACGTAACTAATATGTTTAGTTTTTCTTTCTTTATTAGAAAATATAAATTGGCAATCTTAAAGCATAAATAAACAGCATTTTCATATATCTGTACCAGGTATCACATCTATACCACAAACCGCTGTGTGACTACGGGACTATACGGAAATTACACGGTGGTTTAAGGGGGGCAGAAAAAGGGTGTTGTAACTTTAGTTTTGGTCCAACGTAGAGCAGGGGAGGGTACTTTTTTCTCATCCTAAATGTATATGCTATATGTTATAGCCTTCCTTTGCAATATTGTGGAACGTTACATTAAGTGTGGAATAAAAAAGACAAGGGTTTTTATTAATATCTACATCAGTGGTGCACATTAGAAGATAGTTTCCTTTAAAAAGTGATGGCAAATACAAACATGAACATTTGCAGTCACCTATGTGGTTAAAGGGGCCTTGCAGAGATTTTTGACCATCATTGCTGCTGTACAGTGTTTTATTGTGGCAGTATTGTTTGAATCACTTGTTTTACCAGACGGGCATGCCACGAGCCTGAGGGGTGATGGGAAACACGTTTCTGGTGACTGCAGAGGGCAGCAACGCAAGGTGGCAATGTGCCAATAAAAGAGAAGATACGATAATGTAGTGAATACAGGTTCCAAATCATTCATACGTTATTTATCTGTTTATAGGTGATCTATTGAATTGAATACAGGAATATAATGCACTGGGGAAATTATCGTCTTTGTCATACACCACAATACGGGAACATCTGGCTTCACTTTGTGTACATGCTGTAGTTCTTCAAAGTGACACTGTGCACTGCAGTAAAATTTCCATAACATATTTATGTCACTTAATACCTTAAATGCGTTCATGACTTTCTACAGAGTAACCAAAGTCAGATCCATCTTATGAATTCTTTCGAGAGCTCCATCACTCTGCCTAAAGTAAAAGTTGCATCAGCAGATTTTCTCACCTCTTGATGAATCCTTTAGTTTTGTTATGGTCTCCATCAACTCCCGTGAAAAACATATGGTTCTTTAGCTTCATTATATTCACCAGCTAGTTGCTATATTGCCTCTCTGTTCTTTGGTGCTATGCAGGTAGTACACATGGGGGTTTACCAATGCTGTTTTGCTGAAAACAGATACTGCAGCTGGAAATGTGGTTGATGAGAACTGACTTTGTGGGCTTTTCATATTGCACATAGTCATTTGACTAATATAAGAATATTGATTGCTGCAGTTCTAAATTGAGTGTCAAATTTCACATCTCAGTCTGAGGGACTAATAATGTCCCAATGTATGTCCCATCTATGGTTACTCTCTCTCTCTCTCTCTCTCTCTCTCTCTCTCTCTCTCTCTTTATAACTGCATAGAAAGCCATAGTGATGACTTAGAGTTGGTGCAGACTTCCTTAAGCTTTAAATGAAGCAGTGACAGTGAGCAATGTAGCAAAACTTCACTTGTTCAGCTGCAACAACAAGATTTATCTCTGTGTTGAAGTTTTGGATAAATGCTGATTTAACCATGCTGTAGCACTCTTCACAATAAAGTTGTGTGAAAAGAAGAAAGAAATTATTTTGTTTTTGATATGCTGCTGGGACATTCACAGTGCTTGAAAAATACAGTCATTGGCCACAGTTTGAAACAAAATAATAGAAACACTGACATGTATTCATGTCAGAGGGAGATATTTTGGTAGTCATGTACTCTTTGTGGGCTGCAATTCTTCTGTTGTTAAATTTAGGCTAGAATCCCTTTGGAAAACACATTTTATCAATACCTGGGAACCAGTACAGATATGGCTGCATATCTGTCTTTTTTTAAATTGTTTGTATTATAACATTTTGTGAGAAATTAAATTAAAAAATTTCCAAAAGAAAGGCTCAACAGAAAGACACAAGTATTACAAATGAATGAGGACAAAGGAAAACACACTCAACAGTTAATTCGCAAGTGCAACAAAGGAGTTACTCCTGAGAACCGTGTAATCTTTCTCAAATACTCTGAGTTGCAGGGCCTTTCTGGATGTCAGTCCTCAACGACAAATGAGTTGTCCACCAGGGATTTTGATCAGGAGCACAATGACGTCAGCCGCACGCAAATCCTTCCTCATTAACCTGTCCTGATCTTTATTGAGTGTTGTGTGCTTGCATGGGAGATTCCTCTACGACATCTCTATTTTCCATCTCTGTTAATAACCTACAGTAGAGGACCCAGCTTGTGCCTCAGACACAATCTCTTAGAGGCGTTGAGCACTGACCCTGCTTTAGCAAAAACCTTTACCAATAATAGCAGCCTATATCATTAACTGGATGAAGTGTTAATACTGGTTTCCATTAATATGATTAAGCATTGTTGGCGGTATCCCTTGGATACACTGGTATGATCTTTTTTTTAGGCTTTCACAGAGATGCAGACACGCTACAGAGCACATGTGATCCAGTTATGTATTTCATATAATGGAAACGAGGGCAGGTCAAAAAAAGTTCTATTCATTCATATTTAAGTACATGAGATGGGTAAAGGCTTAACAATGTTTATCTGAACAAGTGTATCATCAGCTTGTTTGTTTGTTGTTGTTTCAAAGGTGTTTTTCTGCTCAGAGTCAGAAGATCAGAGGCTGTGACGAGGGTCAAAGGGTTCATTGTACTTGAAGCAAACCAGATTACACTAGGTGTTGTTCAACCACATCTGAAGGGACTTGATTTGTACCTGCTCTGAATGTCATCAAACCGCATGCCTTCCTGATCTTGTACAAATGGGAATAAGGGGGAAAGTCTCTCCTTAAATGCACCCACAAAAAGCAGTATTTGTTGAATTAGAATAAGGGCTTGAGAGAGAAATTCTAACCTTATTTTGACACTTCTGCACACCTGGCTGATTTCTGCATAGCGTGGGCATGACTGTCACATTGTCTGTCTGACATATTATCACCTTTTAAGGTGATGTGGGAAAGCAAGATGTTTCTTATTTACACATTCAGAAGTTATAGAGCAACATTATCATTCAATTTGAGTCACGTTTCTGGCCACCTGGCACATGTAACTCCAATATTCACACAATATTCACACCCACTTTTAGCTCTGTTTTTGGTCTCTGCCAACCCCAGAAGGGAAATATCTGGCTCGTTAGCTGTTAATGCTCCACTGTGTTCACCAGATTGTTGCTGACTGTGTCTGTCTGCTGTTTGGTGCTGAGCAGGTAGTGTACAGTGGTGTTAGACTTTCTTGTCGGGAAAAGGGTCGTAAAAATTCCATCATAATCTATTATTACCCAGCATTTTATTTAGAATGTTTTTTATGATAATGAGACATACAGCCTATTTAATAGCATTTGATCACAATAACATTTAATATACAGAACTTACAGATAAGAAAGATGAACAGTTGAGACAATTTTTATGTCACCACACAAAGCAAATTAATGTTCTTAACATCCTTGCTGCCACTTGCTTTCCCTGTAACATTAGCTGCCATTGGCTGATAAACGTTATCAGTATTACTTGCTTGTACTTCACCCTCAACTGTAACAAGTCCGCTTTTTTTAACCTCGTTTGTCAATCACATATCAATTATTGGGCTTTCTGAAGAAACTTTGGACATTCAGCTGGTGTGACATTTTGCGATAACTAGACTATGTAGTGATATAGCCAAACCAGTGCGATGGCTAACGCCAGCTAGACAACACGGTCATGCATGTGAGACCAAAGA